TACCGGGGAGCCGCTTCATACTCGTTCACCATATGCTGCAACTAATCACCCAGTGGACTATCAACCCATGGATTCCGCTATTTCCATGCCTCGTTCGCATTCCCCTTCCGGTGCTCCGACGTCACTTCATTCAACAAACGCGCCACAATCCCAACATCAAATTCGTCAGCATCAACAAATATCGCCCCCGACATCTTCGCAACCGCCACAACACCATCACGTACCACCGCCTGACCAGTGTGTACCTGAGTTATCCGCCTCCGACTCCCAGATGGACTCTGGAACCTCATCCACCAGTTCCATGCATCAACAAGCTTTGGCTGCGGCGACAGCCTATGCTGCAGCTGCTGCCTACGCTGGTTTGGACCCGATGGTCGCGGCTCATCAGCGCGTCAAAGCCTATTATGATCATTGGGCTTCATCTTTGTTTGGCAGCTTGGCTGCCAATCCGCCTGTAGCAATTCCGCTATTTCCATGCCTCGTTCGCATTCCCCTTCCGGTGCTCCGACGTCACTTCATTCAACAAACGCGCCACAATCCCAACATCAAATTCGTCAGCATCAACAAATATCGCCCCCGACATCTTCGCAACCGCCACAACACCATCACGTACCACCGCCTGACCAGTGTGTACCTGAGTTATCCGCCTCCGACTCCCAGATGGACTCTGGAACCTCATCCACCAGTTCCATGCATCAACAAGCTTTGGCTGCGGCGACAGCCTATGCTGCAGCTGCTGCCTACGCTGGTTTGGACCCGATGGTCGCGGCTCATCAGCGCGTCAAAGCCTATTATGATCATTGGGCTTCATCTTTGTTTGGCAGCTTGGCTGCCAATCCGCCTGTAGCAAGTGGTCCCACCAACGCTCTAAGCGACTATCCGCATCCAGTCAATAGTAACAACAACCGAGCAACAGACTGGTCCGTAAATCAAACTGACCGCAGTGATCGTGTATTTGATCCACTATCCGCAGATCCTACATGGGCCTGGCCGAGAGATCAGACTGGTGCCCGCCAGCTTTCCAATCCAGCCTCGCGTCCGGGTGGTTTTTTCGATACCAGTTCACGATTGAGCGACTGCACCGCAGCCTATCCACCGGTTGGAGGAGCGGTTGGCGGTCCCTTCTCGGAATTCTCGACCAACCCGAATTCCAGCGGTCTTCCGAATCTCTCTCAGCACACAGTGCATTCATCGCATCACTCACATATGCCAGCAACAACGAAGGACTCAACCGCGATCGAGTTTGGGATAAATTCAGGACATCCGGGTCTAACCGCCCCGGCCTATTCGGATCCGATACTACCTCATTTGTCCCATCCGGATCCATATAGGCATTTTCATCCCGGATTAGATTATGCCCGATTCGGTCCCGGGCCGTCATCGCACGAACCACGAGTCAACGGATGGTCGTAATCAGCTTAGCCAATTAATCCTCGTGCATACCTTCCCTGTTCTACCGGACTGATCGTTCTCTCAGGTTTCCTCCTCATTTTTCCTACCCAGTGAGTTCTGTTCCATCAGGTCACGTGATTTCGTTTATTTTGTGGTACTTGCCTTTTGTTCTTAGCTATAAACGACCATCAGACTTTGAATTGTGGACAACTGTCTAAAGCGATGAGGTTTTTTCTCAATTAGGATTGTTCTGTGTTCTGCTCACAAGGACTCCCCTCACGCCGCAGTTTCTCCTGTATCTTTCTTAGAATGAAAACAAATATTCTGTAGACGAGCAAGCATGATGAGAAAATCGATCTTATTAGACAATAATTTAGATGCTTGCTTTCTATCTGCGAGGTCCCGGGTTCGTGATTCTCAGTTGGGTCGATGGATTCGCGCACGACTGCTGATGAGACCCAACCAGGTTGAAACAGCTATCCAGTTGGTGATTATACCGATTAACAAGAAAGACGACAAGTCCACCTATGAAAACCACAGAGGAAGTAGTTTAATTAACATAACATCTAAACTTATTGTCGGCATCATACTCCGACGATTGTCTGACGCACGTGAACAGTGCACGCGTGAGAACCAGGCTGGTTTTAGACCTGGTCGAGGTTCTATTGACCACATCTCTCTCCAAATTCTCGAGCATCGACATTCTTTTCTTAGACCTACCATCATTGTCTTGGATCTGGATTTGAAAGCGGCTTTCGACTCAGTCGACCGCTCTAAAATCTGGCGCTGCCTCACTCTAAAGGGTGTGCCCGAGAAGTTAATTTCAATATTACGATCGCTTTATATTCATAACCGAAGTCGACTCCGGGCTTACGACAATTTTTCGCCCGAGTTAACTACAGTAACTGGTGTTTGTCGAGGTTGCCTTCTCTCTCCTATTCTATTTACCTTAGCTATACGTTTGATCATGGAGACAGCCCTATCCTCGTTCGAGGATTTACCCCCAGGAGGCAGACTGTCCTTGAGACAGACCTGCGTTGAATCCGATTATGCATCACTGGTCGCAGAGAATCCCACCAACCTCGATTGGCAGATCATCGCTTATCTGACCCAGCCGTTCGTGCCCGTTTTGAATCAGAATTAAGACAAGAGCTAAACGCACTGCGGGGTGGTAGTGTAAATAAACAATGGGATCAGATTAGCCGAGCAATGCACTCCGCAGCGAACGTTGCTTGTGGTTCTGAAGCAGTAGCCCGCCCCGAGGCATTGGATATCTGATCAGTCATTGGCACTGATGGAGAAAAAGCGGCAAATCCCAACCATCGGGGATCAAGGCAGGTTAGGTGTCATCCGAACCTGCTACTGCAGAAGAACTGCGTTCTTGCATCCAAACCCTGAAGAAAGGAAAAGCAGCAGGACCAGACGGGCTTTCTCCCACTCTTCAAGTTAGGAGGCGATGACCTTGTAGACTCCATTACTGATTTGATGCGTAACATCTGGTTACACGAGCGCAATTCCGATGTTTAAGAAGAGATCTCGCAATGACTGCGTAAACCACCGTGGAAAATGTTTGATCCCAATCGTCACCAAGTTACTAGCCTCCGTTATACTTCGACGTCTGACACCGTTTAGGGAGACATCCGCGAACAATAAGCAGGATTTTGAACAGGTTGCGGTTGTATCAATCAATTCTTCACTCTGCATCAAGTCCTCGAGCTACACCATACGCACCCTCGACCAACGGTTGTCGTGTTCCTTGACCTAAAAGGAGCCTTCGACTCAGTTGACCGTGAATCCCATATGGGTTCGCTTCTTCGCAAAGGAATACCGCAGAAGTATGTGAGCATATTGACTTCACTCTACTCACGTACTTCTGGTAATGTAAGGGTCTACGGCGAGCCGATTAGGTCGTTCGTCACGAGCAGCGGAGTTCGTCAAGGGC